AAGAAAAAAGACGACGTCTTTAGAATCTAAATTTCAGATGAAGTTAGAAACAGTCAAATCAATTTGAAGAAAGAAAAGAAACTAATTTTTTCACAATATCGCTGAGACCACCCGATCAGTTGTTGAAGTGTATTTTCGTAATGGATCTCGTTGCATGGAAAGAATTGCAGTGCTAGACATAAAATCGTTTAGTTTAACCTATAAAATGAATAGATTTCAGTTGATTGATATGTCTTTTATTACCAAAATTAAGTTTCTGAATAGTATTTCCGCTGTAATGACGAATATTGATATTTTGAAGTAGGTTACTTCATTTTAAAAGTACGAACAAAGCCTACGACAATCTTCACTTTATCAGAATAACTGAACATTTCATTGAACCGTTTGCATTTGTTAGGCTGATCTATTTCAGGCACGTGGACTTGAATCTTCAAAAGCAAATATTCTGTTACCGGTGGCTAACATTAATGCTAAGTTTTCGGTTGAATTAATGTCTATGAAGGTACAATTAAGAAAATTTTGAATAATCAACTAGAGTAATGGTATAGATCATTTGTTCCGAAATTTTCAAAATGAGATGGTTCGAAATATTAACGAGCTTTGAAAATTTCTTGACTTACATGTTTTGAGACTCTATTTACTGATAGTGAATGTTTTATCATTCCCATCTTTGGTTTGTTTCTCAAATCATAGAGAAAACTGGGGACATTTCGGATTATCTTTGCTACGAAAGCCTTTTTGAAATCTACTTTAATGTCACATTAATGCTTCTCAGTCTTCATTTATCTGACTAATGCTAAATTTTTAGCATAAATGACGTTTATAAAAAACCACCGTTGAGAGATTGAGTAATTTATATACTTGTCAGTTTTACAAGAACTTGAAAGAACGTTTGTAGTTGCAGGCATAGCTGGAAAGATTTATGTCAGAAAAACGATGCCTTTTTTCTTTTTTTTTTAATTGTCTTTTATTAAGCAGTAGGCTATTAATAATTTATGGCTGTTTTCTGAAAGTTTTTGGAAATTACGTTATGAGAAAGGATTTCCTCCTGTCATGTGAGTGAAAATTTTTAATTTGAGGAAAAAAAGAATTTTTCAGGGTAAAATGTAAATATGGAATGTAATCGTAGGAGCTGTTGTATGAAACGGAGAATCACTACTGCTGAAAAAATTTAATCAAAATTTACGATAATGATACCTTATGGTGTTTTAGATTGATATACTAGAACCGAAAATGATTTCTGCATCAAACGTTAATTACTTATCAACAACGAGACACCACCTGTTATATCTGGATTCATTTGATATGATGGGACAGATTCATACAGAACCGCGTTTTGATGAACTCAAACTTCAGCCTATAAAGTATATAAATCTCTTCTACGAAGCAAAAATAAAGCTTTTATGTTACAAAGTAAATCTTTGTCGATAGATTAAAAAGAAGCTCTCAACCTCTGTTTTTTACTGCTTAATAATTTGCTATCCTTTTGTCGAGATTTCTGGTTGACAACAAATTTCTGGTGTGTTTTCTTTGAATGTGGTGTTTAAATTTAGGTGAATTGTTCAATAAATAGCTTACTTAATTAACTTAATTATTTAGTTTGAGAAAGAGAATAAAATTCCAACTTCCAGGATTTCCATATTTTTGTCGTATAGTTCATCTGTACAAAACATTCGTACGGTATTTCCCTTTGTGGCTGTCTGTCTTTTCAATGACCTTTCGCGTGTGACTCGTTCCTGCACGTCAGCTTTCGTAAATTTGAAAATGGCTAAAATATGTAGAGTACCAGAAGAAACGATGCGCATTTCGAAATCCCCTTCAAATTTCGCAGCTTCTGAGTTTGGTATTACCAGTTCTGCATCCTGGTTACAGAAAGTGATTGATAAACTGCAAGATTATTTGGGGTAATTTGCTTTGTGTAACAGTGTTATGAACTTATTTGAATGATTTGTTACATTGATTTAATTCTGAATTTAATCTTCTTTATATAAGATTTCAGTTCTCGGGTCAGCGCTGTGCAGTTCAGTGAGGAGATTTTAGAGATGAAAGTGAGTGGCAATATGGATATTAAAGTTGCTGTTCTTGAAATGACGCTTACTCACTTGTATGTTTCAGCGACACTAAAAAGGACACGGGTTGGTTTTAGAATAGAAAATTATGACTGTAAAGAATATTGGTAAAATGCCATCTATTTTGGGGTTTAAAACGAATTTTCAGAATTTCAGAAATCGGAATTGTTGGAAAGTTTGACATATTTCAGCTTGAACATATGAATCGACGGGAAAAGATAACAGACAATAAGATAATGGATGAATTAAATGCATCCATTCAACGTGCTAACCTTATTTTATCTGAATTTGTGATGGGTCACGATGCCAAACATATCGTTAGCTTTTCGGTGAAAACAAGCTCGTTAAAATTCGAAAGGTTTTTGTTTAATTAATTGTTTAGATTCATCCTTAAAATGACTAAAATTCTGAAGATTGAAAAGATTAAGTTGCAGGGAGAAGTATATTAAAGGGTCGGTGAGAAGTCGTATTAAGGTATTGATTGGTGATGTCGAAGGTGACACGCCTATTCATGCTCAGAATCTTCATGAAGTAGTCCTTAGGAATGTTTCGCAGTTGAATGAACAGATAACTCGTCTGGAATACAACGCTGCAACGGTATCTCTGAATATCATGGATATTTATTTATTCCTCTCTGTTACCCATGTATGTTAAAATATACCAGATGTGACAGTAGCCCATTTTTTGCCATTTGGAATTTGAGCATCATTTTAGCCCGTTGGTGAATATTCAGCTCATTTGCAACAGCGACAGAGTGTAATGGTTCTGAATTTCGAACTTCTAATAAGCAGTATTGAATTATCTGCTCAATTACTGCCCTCATTGAAAGTCAAGTATCGACTTGATCAAGCGCAGAGTTGTGGGAATACGTTCGTTTCCTTTCGCTGATGGATGTTATATAAATTTCGGAAAGATGGAAACTAATATTTTTTAGATTTTAATTAAATTCCAGGGGATCAGCATCAATATTTACTGGTCGAATTAAAAGCCATGTTGTTCATTTTACTGTCATTGCTCCCATTGACGAACGACGAACGTCCTCGTTGAATTCGGATACCTTTACGCTAGTTCTTCCTCACATTTCTGCTGAAGGTGCATATCGTATGCCGGAGAAAATTGAATCTATGGATAAAATGGGGGATGAAAATTTGCTTTTCAGGGAAGGCGGATACATCGACGTAATCTTGACAGTCGGTAATACTTATTTGCTTTCAGCTTTACTGCTGTGATTTACCAAAATAATCACCGGAATGTTTGTAAATAATGTAGTACAAGTAATTAAGATGTTTAAATATCTTCTTCTTTATTTAATATCATCAGTAAATATTTTTTATTGTTGGAAATATAGTTAATTATTAGTATTAATTATTAGTTTCTTATTAGTTTTTTTTTTTAATAATTAATTATTATTAATTATTAGTTTCAGTTCTGTCTCCAAATTTCAGGTAAATTAGAACATATATTCACCACAGATTTACTTAATCAAATTCTTTTTGCGGAACAATGTTTCCGTACTGAACTGACATCGCTAATCAACAGAATCATTGACGACCGAGCAGTTCGTCCACGAGCACCTTCCGAGCAAATCCCTTCGCTGGATCCATTCCTATTCACTGTAACCGTAAGTTTCGATCAACGTTTTTTACATATTTACTGTTAATCTTTCTTTTAATTCAAAACAACGTTTATTTACATTAACAGGAATTAAATCAACAAGTTAAAAATTAAAATTATTAAATTAAAGGAGTAAAGAGGAGTTGTTTACCATCTTTATCTTCCTGAAGACTTCTGATAATTTTGATCGTAGAAGTATCAGACTTCATCTTTATAGCTGTTCCATCGGAATTTTTGTTTAATTTCTTGAAGATAGTTTGATTTTAGTCAGTTTCTCTCTCCATGAGTTCTCTGAAACATGCATCATTCCTTGCTTTCATACTACTCTCCTGAGTTGTGATAATGTGCCTTGGTCAAATTTAGCAAGAACAAATGCTTCAAATTTCGGGATGTAGTGGTACTTTTGCTCTTTTAAAATATTTTAAATAACTGAATAAAAGAACTTGTGCCATATAATTTTAGCTACGTGGCGAGACAGCTCCTTGGCTTCAACTCACTGCCAGTACACCAACTTCAGTTGCAGTTCGATTAACATTCGATAATATCACAGCTACCTTAACGAATCGTTGGACACAAAGAGAGGTGAAGTCAGAAACGGTAAATTTTGGATATCGTTCTAGAACTTCGAAATATTTTATGTGAGCTTAATAAATAGTTGGAGCTGGGCGGTAACAAAGAGGAAGTAATTCCTCCTTTGTTTTTCCCGACTCTTATTAGGCAGCCATAAATTTACTTAAGTCCTTTCATCGCCATGGATAAATGTTCAGAAAAAATTGTATGGGAAAGCGGTAATTGGTGTGAGTGCTAAACTTGGTGTTTTGGTTAAAACTGCCATGTTTGAAGAAATTGAAACTGAGCTACAAGAGTTTGCGACATTTATGACACAGGTGAAATTTCTTAATGTTAAATTTCAAAATTCAAGTCATAGAACTTTACTCCCACAAAACTAGACATCTTACTGTATTTATAGAATGATAGCGTTTGATATGTTCAAGCTTGACAAGGTTATTCCTAGGAATTGTAGCAAATTAAGGTGATCTGTAATCTGTCGACAGAGTAAGGTCAGGTGATCTACAATAGATAAGTTTAGAATGACTTCGTTAGCCTTTTTTTTTTAATGAAACTGTTTAGAGTATGGGTGGATCAAAAGTTCCTTTAAATCTGAGAAGGGTAAGTGAACATCCCTTTATGAAATAAAGTTTCAATGAAATTAAATATGAACTGATAAATTTATTGAAACTTAGATAACCCTGCAAAATAAAAGCAGCAGTGTGCCATCTGCATATAGTTATGTCGTGACGGTAAATCGTCCTATTTTTCTCATTAAATCGTCAGCAATCGATAAAGTAAGTTGTTTTGTCAAATAAGTATCATCGCTTTTTGTTGAGCTTTTTTTTTTTTAGCTTTTTTTTTTTCATCGGGACATAATCCTTGCATTAATTTTTTGTTTTTTTTATGCCTTGTTACTCCGCATTGACATATCTCATCCTGTTATTTCAGGCGATCTTGTTATGGTTAAATTACAAGAATACTTACGACTTTTGGCATGAGGAACGAAATAAAATGTTGAAATCGACGCGACGTTCATCTCTTGCGTCGACTTACGTTTCAACACCCCTAGTAAGTCCTCTTTCATTTTAGAGACAAACAAGTAAATTTCAAAATTTGAACCGGAAAAATGATGTTTATATCGTTGGTATATTCGTTTGCATGTTTTTTAGTAAATGTTAGTTATCGTGCAAAAATTTCTCATTTATCTAATCGAATTACATTGAACCGAATCAAGTTCATTGGTGCAGTTCAAATAATTTGGACTGAATTATACGAAATTTTGAGCACGAAATTTTCAACATACGTTACAGAATGCAGAAACAGGAGTGAATGTAAGTTTGTCGTTGAAAGTAACCAACGGTATCTACGTTTGTATGCCCTTATATAGTGCAAATTTGAGTGAAAACCTCTCTGCACTACTTATTTCGTTGCAAAGTACGGATATCAGTGTTTGTGTGAAGAAGGAATTGGCCTGTCAAGCAACATTTCATAAATTTAAAGTCAAATTTATTGACAATTTCGATGATCAGGTGATTATCAAATAAATGCTTGTGCTTACTGAGTATTTAATTTATTTGGATTCTGATTCAGTTTAGTCACGTGATCCTTTTTGAGAATTCCACAATGATTTTAAATTTTAATTGAGTATTATGCTCTGAATGTATTTCTTTTTTAGTAATATTTAATGTACTGGATATCGAGGATTTGTGCCAATCGATGCCCACTGTGAAAGAATTATTTTGGGATGCCAAAAAAATCAAATTTTACAGACTCTGAATGATACTTGGATTGAGGAAGAACCTGGTGATCCTTCGCGTTCAAATTATTTCTATTTTCCTCAAGGTACTTACGAGCTTGTTTCACGTGCAACGGCTGCTTCTGACTCATCCGAGAATGCCAAGTGGACTTTATCAATAAAATGGCAAATGTGTGGGATGGTCATTGACCTTGATCAAGTTAGCATCTAACTGTTCTTCTTCCAAACTAGATTTTTTAATGCCAGTTTGTTGCACTTCTCTTTAAATTTCAATGAATTGATTCTAATATGTATGTGAAATCCTAGCTTTCAAAATAATTGAAATTACAAATATATTTTTGGATGAATCTGGTAAGTATATAGAATATTTATGATTAATTAGCCTTTTAGCGCATCGGCAAGCATGCGTCACTTCTAATTAGTACTTTCTCATCACTTACGTCCGATGTTAATGAAGACTGGGAGGAATTGGCAAATGAATCATCAGTTGTTTATGGTGACGAGGATGAACAAGATGCTGAGATTGATGCTACTGGTGAGCTTGGAAGTCTTGCTCAACCTGAAGAACGAATTCAGTGGTTGGAGCGAAAAGTAAGTCCCGCGAGCTTTATGCTTTCAAAGTCAGTAATATTAAAATAATTACAAGCACTACATTAGTTTCTAACGGGAAAGTGTCAAAAAGGGCAAAATAACAATATTAGGAGTTTTGTAAGTCTTGTCGTTTTTCCTATTATAATCCCGTTCTTTTTGGCTTTTTTTTGTTCTCACATCTTTAAATTTTGACAATTAGAAGGTCTTATTTTATAGATGCATGAACAATCGGTTTTGGTCACAGATTTGATGCAATGTGGAGCATCGGAGCCAGCTATCGAAAAGGAGAGGCGGACGTTGCGTAAATTGGAGTCAGCTCGGTTTAGACAATTTAGGAAATCAATAATTGAAAAGCTGAAACGTAATGCTATTCGTCAACGGAAGAAGTTAATGGAACCAAAAAAGGTTTTTTAGCATCTTTATATATAAGATGAAGATTTTGGTTGCAAGACTACTTGTTCTTCCGTTGTTTCTCTTTCATTACTTCAAAAAAGATTTTAACCTACCTTTTTTTACTTTTTAAATCTTCCAAATCATCACTTTTTAAGGTCAAAATAAATTAGATAATTGAGGGAGATATAAATTTGTCTTTTCTTTATTATTGCTGATTGAAAAATAATTTGTAGTCTGTCGGAATTCATGAAACAAAAAAATTCAATACATTATCATCTGAACAGTCGGACGATCCATCACATATCTCCTCTGATACGGCAAAGAAAAATGTGTCGTTGGGTTTGCAACTCAGTGGATTACCTAAAAGTTCAGAAAGGGGATCAGCAAGCGGACGTCCATCAGAGAGTAATGTTCTGGCAAGTACGGTTAATATGAATATCGATGTACAGGTACGGTTAATATGAATATCGATGTGCAGGTAAAATTTTGTGTTTTTCGTATTCTCATTGTTCACGAAAGTTTCAAGTCTTCAAAGTGAAATTTGAAATTTTTTTCGGAAAAAAGGGAGACTGTCTCGAGTTTTACTGGATCTTTGAAGATGATTCCAGGTGGGTATCGAGTCTGGTTTGTGTACCTTGCGCGCGTTTGGTAAACCAGAAGAAAGTACAGGTCTGCCATTGAAACGACCGTCTATGCGAGATTTAAAGTCGAAAATGACACAATCAAGTGAATCTGTAGCAGTTACAAAACTTGCAATTCCAAGGTTTGTCTAATTGTTTTCAGAAAAGTCTTCACTGAAACATGTGTACATCTGTAACGTATGTATCACATATATTACATATGTATCACTCACCTTGCTTTAAGACTGTTTGTCGATATCAGTTTTAAACACAGTGAAATTGCATAATTCTGGCATTTTTATCGGATTGTGATGGGCATGTCATTAAAACGTTACTGCGTAATTCAGTGGAGCTTAATTTTTAAAATTTGCTTTCATTCAAGTAATACTGACTCTGAAATTACCTTTAGCAGATTGGATGAATTTGCTTTTATCATTATTTTTCTCTTTCTGTCTTTTAGTGTTGATGTCAGAGCTTTTTATACATCGCTTGATACAGGTCAAATGCACAAACAAATATCACGTCATGTCCCAGCTACGTTTTCGCATAAATATGGGCGATCCGGGTAAACTCTATTGTCAACTTTTGAGAAGTTTCATACTCTCATAAGACTTAACACTAAAAGTTGATAAGGAATTGGAATTCAGTGGATCACATAACTGAAGTTCAAAACATTACAATGAGTTCCGAAGTAGTTTAGTCTAAAATTCGCTTTTTCAGTCATTGGCGTCGACCAGCCTTTTATCTTGCAGTCGAGTTGGCGAGCATGCCACAGGAGTCACTAATAACGCCACATCTTGCCGATTTCCTTGAACAAATGTTTGCAGCAATTCCTGAAAATAATGTAAATTCATCATTAGATGTAAGTTATCCACAGTTGTCAAAATGATTTTGTGTTTGAAAAAAATTCTTTTTTCATTTAAAATTCCTGTCCTTTTTTATCTTTTTATATTTCCAATATTAGTTTTCTTATTCAAATTTACCACGCGCTTTTAAGGTTGCAAATACCTTAAATTTATTGACCGAACATTCAACTATTCATAATTCCGAAAATTTAGCTTTCAAACATGAATCAAAGTGAAATGACTGACTCTGATGTATCGATTGTCGAAATGGATACGTCTGTGATTCCACTTGATGTTTTATTCCATTTGACAGTGCAATCTTCTGCAATTCGATTTGAAGGTCAGCAACAGGTAATTATCTATTATCTTTGCAATATTTTTTTCCCATGTATAATTTGTTGGAAATATTGTAAAAAATAACATTGTATTGCGTACTTGCAGTGAACATTCTTCACAACACTTAATTTTTTTGAACTTACTTGCTGTGGAACTGAGTTTTTGCAATTTATTTAATCAACGATTGACATTTATTTACCACATTGGTGTAGCAAATTAATTGAATTGTGAATAAAGTGGGAAATAAATAAGTGGTCTGAATGTGGTTAAATAAGGTCAGCGAATAAATTAATAAAATATGCAAAGATTTATTTTAAATTTACATTGAGGTTCTGTTTAATTCATTTTAGCGTACGGCTGCAGCTGACTGTTTGCTAAAGCTTCCATCACTTACGCTGATGGCATCAACAAGGCCGCACTGTGAAGGAGCATCTGGTAATGTTGGTGATATAGCTAGAGGTGGAATACATGTTGCTGCAACATTAAGTGCTTTCTCGTTAAATATTTATAGCCCACATCAGGTAAATGCTATGGAAGTTATGATTCCAGGACAATGGGACTCAGAGTGTTCTTGTATACCGTGTTTTGCGTTCGGTATTGATTTGCAATTGCATGTGAATATTCTGTGCCAGCCGGACGAGAAAGACTCATGATGCCAGACGCCGGACTATCTGCTTTATTCTGTTTGCTAGCTGAATTTTGATGGTTTCTAAGATGATGATGCTATATAAACTAGGAGGGGGTTCCGAGACTTTATCGAAATATGTTCTATGGATTTCTGTCTTAGGTTATAGACTCATGCAGCTTTCGTCCGTCAAATTACTTTTGTATTCCAATAAATGACTTCAACTTAGTATTTACTTATTTCTCTTGTTATGTCTCAGTTCAAGTTGATGTAGATTTACAATATTTTTTTATCAAATTGATGTAGATTTAAAATTTGGTTAGTTATCATTACTTTTTAATTTCATATACCAATGTTATTGTTAATGTTCAGCAAAATTTTAGCGTTCTACAGCGCAAGATGCTCTTCTGTTAACACTAGATCATTTATCAATCTTAGCTTCGAGAAGTACAAACAGTCGTTTAGAATCGGACAATAAAGTTCAGGTGACCGTATTTATCAGAACGAGGATTTGCGAAGTAAGAAATTAAACTAGAAAAAAAAGTCATTTTTTCTTTACAGTTCGTATTAACTGCAAATATTGGATCAGCTAACTTTAATTATGATATGCGTCGCCTTGCGGAGCTGATTTCCTTTCCGAAACCGTGGTATCGACATACTATTGTACGTAGGTTATTCTTTGGAAACCATTCTGTAAAAAATCCAGCTTATAATCCCGAGATTTCGCTTATGACGAGTCACGCATCATCAAGACTACTTTCTAATAAGTTAGTTTCTTCTGTTATTTAGATTTAATTCCTTCATTGATTTCAATCAAAATGAATTTGTTCCGATCACATCTGTTGATTAAATCGCTTTTTTAAATCAAAATTTCATCAATTGAGCTTTGATTTATAATGTTACTCTTTGTCTACTTTTCCCTTTTATCCCGTATTTATGAAAATTCCCATTATGTCACACTTCTCAGTGACTGTAGAGTTACATCAACAGAAGAAATCTTGAATAAAAAGGAATGGAGCGCTGCTGTAATATGTGGTGTAGAATGGAAAGAGCTCAATATCAGTGCACAAATGGCTAATACTATGGGAAATACGAAGTTGATTTTACGTGAAGGTGTTTTGCGTGGTTATTGTCAGGCAATACTTTGATTTTAAACATTTTTTTATCATCAAAATTAAAACCACACTAGTCATCTGGTTTAGACAGAAACTACCTAGCAATACGCCAAACAAGGCTTTACGTTGGTCCTCTTTAAAAGAGAGATAGATTTGATACTAATCGGATCCCAGCTCTTTGCTTTTAATCAGTGATTAATCAGTCAAAATTTGTCTGCGTATATCTGGTCGTACAAGTTTTTCAACTTTAAGTTTTTTTTAACTTTCAAGTTTTTTAACAAGTAAGTTTTTTTTTCAATATAGCTGATTCATTTTTAAAAACTTATTTTTTCAGCTTAATTCAAAGCAAGATAGAGCAATTTCCATCAACTTCGGTTTAAAATCAGCTGTATTATCAGCCTATGGGGGTGCAATATCAGGCGAAATTGCAATCACATCTTTATACATTGCATGCAAAAACCAGACAACTGCTTTGGTAGGTCTGTGTGGAATTTTCCTTTGTTTTGCTGTATTCTTCACAGATGCATCCTACGGTTATCCCTTTTTCGTTAATTTTTATGAGAAAAATATTCATCTTTGCTGTAATATCCTTATTATAACAGACAGCATTATTTTTTTATAGTTAGCAAAAACTGCAAAAAGATAATTCATTTTCGTAATTAACAAAAAGAATTTTTTTGACAGAAGCCACCTCGAAATTATGCAAAGTTGGAGTTAAAAGAAATTCAAAGTCGAATTGAGTGGATGAGTCGACCAATATTCATTGCAAAATGCGAAAAGCCATCAGTCACTTTTTTGGATGAGTGGATATCTCTTTTCGACGATGCAGGCGAGGTCTATTAGGCGTTTTTGACATTTATTGCAAGTTAAATTTACACCTTGGTAAAATTCCGTTTAGATTTTGGATCATGGTTAAAGTGAAGAAAATATCATTCAGGAAAGTGATATCACATGAAAAATGTTTAAGATTCTCAAAGCATCCGTAGCTGTCAACATTACTTGTTCTTGGTCAGATTTACAACTTATTATAACAAAAGTGACTGTGGATGATCTCATAAAGATCGCTCAAAAATTACAATCATTTTTCCAGGTTCAGAAATTCCATTCTTATGTTTAAATATCTATTTATTGTTATATATCTTTTGAAAAAAAAATGAGAAGTGCGGAAATAATATAACTACTTGAAATATAATTTAAATATATTTCAGGTTACTTTAAATATTTCGCATTATTTTAAATATAATCAAAACAAATCTATTGTTTTGATTGCACTAACTTTGGAAATAATGGCTTACTTACATCATTCAGTAAATATATATATATATATCAATACAGGAGCAGCTAACGAATAGTCGAATGGTATGGGGTATTAGAAGCTCTATGGTAATGAATGGAAGTTCTCCGAAAATTGATGGGAAGAATTTTATAAATTTTACCAAATATCATCATTGGCAACCAGTGCTCGATATGCTAACACATATTCAATCACGACAAAAGCTTTTACCAATGCCGAAAACATCTGATGGAATGACCATTGTGGGTGGCGTATTGGAACTTTCCGGACAAAGTTTATCTTTAGCTTGTATGCATGGAGAAATGAATGCCAGTAGGTAAGTTAATATGCATCGAAAGTTCAAGTTCAAGAGTTCAAGAGTTTCGGAAGTGAAAAAATTTGGTTGCATATTCTATTTATTTTCGTGATTTCATTGACTTCCACATTTAATCGGCACATTTTCATCAATTAATTTTATTCTTGTCCATTGCGCTGCATATTAACAAACTTTATAGCTGGGCACTGTTTCATATGCGGCAACCAACGATCATATTTGAACCAGAAGCTCGTTACATCTTTGTTACTGATAATCGAGATGTGGGTATATCAGTTACTCAACGCCTTAACATTAGACTCGGTGATACGGCATATCAACGTGGCGACACCGAATGTATGGCTGTTGTATGTCGTGTTCAGGTTAGATTAGCGATTTGTTTTGTCTGAAAATAATATGATGCCTGCTCAGGAAGCATCATAACTTGTTGGTTTGTTGTTTGATGTTCTAGTTGCTTTTGTTTCCAACAGTAACCGTTTCCTTTATTTTCCTTTCATTAAATCGATACGTTTATTGCTGATATCCATTGTGCTATTTTAATAATTAAGTGCAGAGATAGATGTGCTCATTATGTTCATTGTTTTCATGACATTTTAACATGAAATTTCAATCTTAGCGCTGGCGGAATAGTTATCAGCTGGTGTTACCTTGCTAGTGTTATGATAAGAAATGCACGACAAGTTTGACAAAGTATTATGATATAAATAAATTTACTTCGTACGAACTGGTGGTGCATTCCATTGAAATCTTGTTTAAATTTTTTACTTCCTTGGTTGATTTAATTTTCATTTATTACATATGCAACTTCAGTTTTACCTTACTACACTTTGTTGGTAGAATTAGTTTTTAACAATGT